ATTCCAGGTCATAATAAGTGCATTAAACATTTTAGTTTCATGCATTTTTTAAGGAAGCATCTCTGACACTTCCTTCCAGTTTTTTGTCATTTGTCCCTATTACAGCATTACCTTAACATTTACAGTTAAGGTAGACTTTTCTGAGCTACTTTCCCTTTATTATATTGAATATTATGTATGTTTTTCCTGTTTGAAAGATCCACGATTTTTCGTTTATCTTCATTGTTACTCGAATTTAAGTTACAGAATTTCTATAAAACTAATTATAATAATAACGCTATTGTCTTCCTTATCCATTTTCAAGCGTATTATGGTTATTAAACCGTTGTCATTAAAAAGTTGTTGAATTGAAATCAAGTACCAACGTAATGAGTAACGGATCCTACTCGACGATGACGATACAATTGTAGAAAGTTTTTGTTGCCCCACCCGTTAAGTGTCAGGAAACGAGCATCGAGAGTCAGAAATTGCAAACTCCCGAAATTTCTAGACGCTTCCGTTACTGATTCAAAATGAAATTTTTAAACATCATTAATAATATTCTAGAACAAAAAAAACAGTTTTCTAACTTCTAAAAATAGAGGAAACAAAAATTTTAATATATGTAATTCTCATGTGTATTAAGCTATAAATCTTATATTTATATATATTTGTTAAATAAATCTGTTTGTAATAACAACACGATTATATGAACGTTCCACTTATTTTTAAGCCAAAAATGAGCGCTAATTTTTCATCTGAGTTCGTCGCTATGTATTTACAGTTACCAACTTGCTAAGTCGAGTGGCACGTCGTCCGTTATATCACCCAGAAATTAACTTTGGTTTACCAAACGCGAACTCAATTCGATTATAACGCTAATAAGGATATCCAATTAAATAACAATAAGTTGTCACGTCATTGTAAAGTCATCACGGATTGTAATTATGATTAAGAATCTCTTTATTTACAAGAATCTTAATAAATAATTAGCTTTAAGGTTACAAAAAAATTTAAATTTATCTTTAATATTTTCGAGCCTTCTAGAAGGAAGTATATAGGATAACACTTGAGATGAAATCAGTGCCAAGAAGTCTCCCTTTATAATTTATTCAAACGATACAGAATGTAAATAAAAAATTCTCTCCTTGCACGATGAGTGCAAACTTATGAGTGTCTTATGATCGTGCAGTGGTCATACATCAATCTCTCGAAGCGTTAACTCCACGTGGGATACTGAGTGGGTTGAGTAGCTCACTACGTTCTTCCTCCGGTTCCGGGAGTCCGAATATAAGAGGAAAACCTCAATTTGACTCATGATACGGAAAGAAAAGCCTGGGAAGATGGACGCATACAAATATGACGAAAATTGTTGTGATTATTGATTACTTACAAGACTAGCCTGTTGGATCGTCTTGGATATCATCTTAGAACGGCAAGGAAAACCCCAACCTGGAGTCAGCATTCTGGTGCACAACAAGTATTTACAATAAGACTTAGAAGAAATAGACAATAGAGTTCGAAACACTCAAAAAATGAAGAACGTCACAACTCATTTGATAAACCCTTATGCGCCTGATATCTCAACACCACTCGAAGAAACAGTACATTTCTATCAACAGCTCCAAGAAACAGTAGATAGGATTCACACTAGCGATAAGGTAGTAATACTCGGAGGTCTTAATGCAAGAGCTGACAATAATATAATACTCAAGGAAAACGGAGAGCTGCTAATAGACTTCTGCTCTAGAAACGAATTAAGAATAAATACATACATCCCACATAAAGAACAGTACAAATAGACCTGTAATAATAGTATAGCCAGAATGATAATATTATTACAAATCGAACAATACTTCCATCGCAAATATTACACGTAAGAATACTCATAGCCGCCAACATAAAAATGGATGATAACCTTTCCTAATACAAAGTCTTATTAAAACGATCCCAGGTGCCATCCGACAACGCTATAGTACTAACAATTTCAAACCCGGGAAAGAATACATCACAGCACGGGAACAGGAGACCTATCAGGCTCCTGACCGGGCTGTCAAAGATTACCGAAAGAATTTTGTTGGAGCGACTGCAAGAAATCTGAAAGGAACCTTTGCGGCTGTGCAACCCAGAAGTGAATTTACGCGGCACTTTATACGATGAACGGGTACTGCAAACAATGGAGGATTGGATTGAATACGAAGTAAACGGAAATATTAAGTTTTAACAACAAGAGCTCGAATAACAGCTCACTAGACGTCCCGAAAAAAATAGAGATGAAGAGAGACATCACATACCTGGGGTAACGGTTAACGGAAAATTGAACGCCGGAAAACAAGCAGCCAAGAGGCTAAGCATTGCGAGAAGAACGGCAAACAAGCTCTGCTTTGTTATAAGAGGGCAGTCGCCGCCTCCAGCAGCAACAAAGGTAAGGATAATAGAAGCCATAATAACGCCGCAGTTGACAATATGGAGTAGAATTCTTGAGAAGTCACTAGAATATGAAAAAATTAGGAAACATTTACAAACGTTGTAAATAGAGGCTATAAACAAACCGACAAGGCGATAGTCTCAACTCTTTTTTGTTCAACTTATTAATGGACAAAATAAATAAAGTGATAGCTTTAAACCTAGTGTATAAAGCGGGCTTAAAAAAAAATTGCAAATTATGCTGCGCTGACGATGCTGCGATAATCAGCAAATCAAGCGAGCAAAGCCCTGCATACGGCTGACTCTACTTCAAAAACTAAATGCGTGATGGTAGCAAGGGAGGCAATAAGATGTATTCTGGTAGTGAAGAACATGCCATCTCGAACAAGTGCCTACTTGGGTGTACACATTTCAAGCACTCATGATCCTGCAAAGGACCTGTGACGTAACATCAACAAAGCGTTTATAATTTCAGGCTGCCAACAAGATACTGTTTGGTAGAACAAACAAAAAATACAAAAACAAACTTACTCCTAATGCATTCGTAAGAGCCAAAAATATATCGAAGCCCTAAAAGTTCACAAACAAAACATCCCACACAACATACAACCAATTATTACCTGTACAAAATTAAGTACTTAACTATTATTTAAATTTCTTGCCCGCTTTGCTAACACTATTCTGAATTCTGGATTCGCGGGAAGGCAGACTAAACCGCCCGCAGCACTTTGACCTCAGCAAATCCCTTGTACTTACTTCCCTCATTTGGTCAGCATTAGGGTCCTTCCAGCCATATTACCTTGGAGGCAAAAGCTAGAATTTGTCCTGGTTGTGCTACCCTGATTCCATTCATGCTAATCTGGATATCTCCAAAAATGGATAACCTTAATGGAGGGAGAGATCTAAATACATTATAAAAAATAGAATTGAATTTATCGAGCAATTTGACCAAATAATCTATCCAAATTAATATACCATGTTGTGTTTCCATGTAATAAATCTATAAACATTGGTGTATCCATGGAAAAAATTCTTAGGAACCACACCACCTTTGCCGGTCGTCATAGCATTATTTTTCCAATTAGTGGCAACGTTTCCTTTCCACGACGGACCTCATACCGTTCTAGTAGTATGTGCTATCTCATTTGTTTGCTGTTTCAGATAACATCATTTATGAATGGTGTCCAGAACACTTATTCTTACAATGTCAGAAACCTAGGTATTATATTGGTTTCTGATTTGACTTGGTATCTGCATTTGACATCCTAAATTTAGTTTTAATTCCCTCGAAATTCTTTATGATTCCGTGCCCTCTCGACATAGAAACGTTATTAAGCATGCTAATCCCGAATATCTTGATAAATGGAAGAACCTCATAAAAATACGGAGAAAGGAACAGGTTCGGTTCCATAGAATGAGTCTTATTATCAGCCACATTGTGCAAACAACCTCCCATAAGGTACGCAACATGGATTTAAGACGCAAATATTTTTTATATTCTATTCATTTCGATAAAGATCGGCTGCAGTTAAACCCAGAAATTATTAAATACCATAATAATAGATCTCATAACTTAACGAAGCTAATTCGTCCAATTCCTTCAACTTTGTGGTGAAATACCTTATGGACACTTGTATATAAATAAGTTAACGTATAAAAGTATACCTAACTGTATTTTATAGACACCAAAAATCTAAACATTTGAAAGAAGACGATATTGAACCGTTCTAAACGATTAACTGTACGTTGAAATTAGTAATGGTACGTTAACAATTGTGCATCTTCAAAAAATTTATTTTAAACGGGTGTTAACTACAGTTATTAAAGATCTAATTGAATCCGACCTAAATTATTTAAAAAAATAAATATTTTAATTGAAATCTTTTATTAAATATAACGGAAAAATATGTATTACAGTGTTTATTCACTTGAAACAAATAATTTCTTTTTTTACTGTTGTAATTTAAATTAATAAATGCTGTTAATCATTATGAGTGTTTGTTGAGAAATAATTTACAGCATTTTATAGATTTGATCTAGGTTGAAAAAGATATGAATAAAAAACAATTCACAGTTTCAATGAATGCTTAACATGTCTTCTTTATAACTACATAAAATGAGTTATTACAATTAACGGTATTTGAGTTTAAAGAGATTGAGTAATAAAAGCTTTGAACGATGGTGACTCAATCAATTTTTGGTCGGAGAAAATGTAGAAATTAATAAAACAGTTTTTCCAAGTAAAAGAAAGTGCATATAAATCCTCTTTGGTTTTATAACAAGTTTAAAATAAACCAATTCAACTCCTATAGCAACTCAAACTGGAAAGTATAGTTAAGATTGCTAAAAATCCCACAAGAGAAATTGTTCGATTCTAAAACGAATAACTAAATTAATATTACCTAATTTATTTATTTATTAACTTCTTTTGATTACTCTTTTCTGGTCCAAATAGTAAATGATGTTTCGTGTTCTTCTAAAGTCTCGAATGAGAAAATATTGAATGTTAAAGTGTTTTAAAGTTTAACGTTCGAATACATAGTGACTTCTTAAAGTAGGTCACGGTATATAAAGACAAGTTCAAGGTATGCGGTTACCATTAAGACTTTGAGACGACGTTGAAGCGGTTGTGCTTTCTTCTACTCTTCTTCAGTGTTGTTCACCTCTCTATACGAAGTAACAGTGATTCGTTTTTTACTTAATCGACAAAAACTGTAGAAAGGTAATTTTTTATACAAATTTTTTACTTAAACTTAACACCAAAATCATTTTCAAATTGAGCAGGTAACTTTTAGGATTCTTTTTCTGTGATAATAACAGATAAGATTACCTGCTTCTAAAACCATTATTTTATTTCTTAATATACTTTGTTTCGAATGAAGTAAAAGTCACGTTTTTGAAAATAAAAGTACCTGTTGCGGACCCTTTCTTAGAGGGTGCAACTTCCGGAACGTATTGTTGTAGATTTTAGTGTATCATTCGAACTTAAACGGTTAAGATGGGGTTTTAGTGAAATTTTTTTACGATAATTTGAGTTGTGATTATGAGCTTAGAAGAGGAAATTTTTAAGTATTTTCAAGGTGGGTCGATTAAGATTTATAATTATTTTATGTATAAATTTAAAGATTATGAATTAATTAAAATATTCCAAATTAAATTTTAAAGTTCAAGGTGTAAAAAATTGTTTAAGATAATTTCAGGCATCAATTTTTTTTTAATTTATAAGAAATTAATTTCGTATAAAATTTCCATAAAAAGCGATGGTCGCAACAATTTAAAATTAGTTTTTATGCAATTTCTTTAGATGAGTTAAAAAGAAATAAGAAAAGAATCTATAACCTAAATCAAAAACGTCACGGACTCTCTCCATCCTTTTATCAAACATAAAAAAGTACACAAAGAAGCTTTCATGTAACATTTTCTTTTCTTTTTTTACATTTCTTAAGAGATATTAACACCAACGTTTTGCAATTCTTCACACTTATCTTATCTCAATTATTTCTATTCAATTTAAGTGTGGAACCCAATTTTTAACTTTTCTTAATCAATTTTAAATTATCTATAGAATTAAATTAAAAAAAGGTTATTATTACTCCTGAAAAGCTTCTATTGTCAACGAAATCTACACTTGGTGAAAATGACATGGAGTAGGAGCTGCACAAAGTCGGGCTGTGGCGATTGGAGTTTTTCTTAGTGAAAAGTGGGTCGTTCGAACATCAGTCAGTCGGTCGACGAAACTATGACGAAAGTTTTCATCTTGTTACATATTTGTAAAAGCTGCGCTCCTATATACGACATGGAAAGTATACGCTCAAATCGAAAAGGAATCTCGAACCATTTATTATACCGTTTTCTCTTTAAAATTTAAAGAATATTTTTATTTATAATCCACAATGTTACAGCAGAAAAAATCTGTATTATTTATATATTTAACATAAACTTTTTTCGATTGTTTCCTTAAACGCAAGGAATGTCCGGGGCCAGTTTACAGGTCGTATTTTTAATGGTTCAAGTACCAAGTCATAATCAATGACCAAACGTGAACACTTCCACAGATATTGGTTCCTTTTGAAAGAATTGTTGAGAATTTATCAAAAATCCATGTCACATTCACCATTCTTTCACAACATTGACAATAGTATCCTTAATCGGTTTTCCCAGAAATATCTAAGATCTGCTTAAGGAATGTATTGTTTTACCAAAGAGTTGCAGGATTGTATCTTGCTGCCTCGTCATTTACAAAGTAACAATCCGTCTTCAAACCAGAATAGATCCACAAATATTGGTTTCTCTTGAAACAATTTTTGACAACTCCTCAGGTATCCATTCCAAATTCTAGATTCTTTATTGAAGCTTTATGGCTTCCTTAAATGAAAGAAATTCTAGGAACAACGTAAACAGCAATATTTTTAATTTGGGCAAACCCCAGAAACATTTAAGATATCCTTGAAGAATATATTGCTTCGCCAATATCTATATATATTATTGTCTCATCATTTACAAAATTACAAACCATCTCCCAATAAAAGAGTAGTTCCACAAACATTGGTAATCCATGTCAAATTCATAATTAGTCGGAGAAGCTTTATAATTTCCTTAAATGATTTCGATTCAGGTCGATTTTGCTGGTTGACTATGCGATGCAAAATTATTCCTTTTCTGTCTTTCCAACAAAATTTTAGATGTTGCTTTTTGCTTTTCCATGTGCTGTTCTGTCAGTTGATATGACTAGTTGCTTTTGTGTCTGGGTATCATCTTCGTTCAATAATGCTTGTATCTCTCGTCTTCGAATTTTTTGGGTGGTTTTCCATTCGACATCGAAATCTCCAATTTTGAAACGTTGAAACCATTTATAATAGGTTCTTCCGGACAAGGCATGATCGCAATAAATTTCTGCGAGCCTCCAGTAATTGGTGCTTTTCGGGTACAGAAGTGACTATCTTCAAAGCTCTATACAAATTTTAATTAGCAATACGATAAAAAATAATGGAAGCGGTGGAGTCATGCTTGTCTAATACTTAAAACTTTTTTGAAGAACGTATTGTACAGTCTGATTGTAATGCTACTTTGAAAAATGATAATTTACAAAGTGATAACTCATGTTTAAGGGAGAGTAGCTCCACATATAAAATAAGGAGATTTTCTTTCAATGATACAAACAATTTAACAAAGATCTGGCAAATGCATAAAGTTTTACTTTTGTAAATATAACCTGTAACAATGATATTCGATTATATTTGCCACTTTATTATTTACGTAATCTCCAGCTTTTGGATGTGAGTTACATTTATCAAGTCATTAAAAGCAAACTCTGTAATCAATTAGTAAATAATCCTCAAAGGTTGTGGCAATGTTCTGGTGTAAATGGGTTTCTGCAGAATTGGCAAGTTTTACATGATCGTTTACAGTGTTGTGATAGCTGTGTAGAAATTGGCTATGAATTATGCTTTTTAGATTCAATATAAACAATTTTCATGCACAATATGCTTCTCAATCCGGTATAGTCTTGAACTAGTGATAGATTTTTTGATGTGTGCCAATCCATTTTGACATGTTGGAGATTTTTCTTTATTCGTGGAAATCGTGGTAACTAAACTGGAACTGGTTACACTTGTGTTTCGTGACACACTTTTTTCCCGATCAGTAAATCATCAATTTTGACATTTTGGAGATTTTCAACTTTTTTGCTAGAAAATGGCGATAACTAGGCTGGAACTTTGTTATGGAATATGCTTTCCTTGTACAATATAAACAATTTTCATGCGCAACACTTTTTTCTATGAATTTTTGAGTTCTGATATTAAGTAGTAATACATTTTTTAATGGAAACCATCAATTTTGACATGTGGGTGATTTACACTTTACTTACACCGTGGGTAATAGCTATGCTGGAATTTTGTTTTGGAAAAGGCTTTTTTAGCTCAATATAAACAATGTTTGTGCACTACACTTGCTCTATCGATTCTAATTTTTGAGGAGTAATAAATTTTTTTAATGTAAATCATTAATTTTACCGTTTTGGAGATATTTGCTTTATTCCTAGAAAATAATGATAGTTACGTTAAAACTGATTATAAATTATACCTTTCAGACTCAATATGAACAATCTACGTACACAACATATTTTATGATCGGTTATTGTCTTTGAGTAGTGATAGATTTGTTAATGTAACTCATCTTTCTTCATGTTTTAGAACTTTTTGGTTTATTTATCAAAAATAGTTTTAGCTAGACTGGAACTGGATAAAGATTGCGTTTTTTTTTAGTTCAGCAGGTACTAAGTAGTTTCGTGATATATATACATATTTCCTCGTAGTTTGTAGTTCCTCGTGTTCCTTGTAGTTTTTAGGTAGTGATAGATTTTTGCTCTATATATTGTTTCAGTTTGATTGTTTAGAAAGATAGCTAGACTGGCATTTATTGAGATTTATATTTTGTTAATTCAATACAAACTATTTTCGTGAACAACATTCTTCCCGCTCAGCTGTAATTTTTGAACGGTGAGAGATTTTTTAATGTAGCTCATCTATTTTCACATTTTGGAGATTTTTACTTTATTAATAGAAAAGGATGATGTAGAGCCAATTACAGATTATGCCTTCTAGATTTAATGAACAATTTGCACGATCAATAATAATATTTTGGAAATTTTCGCTTTAATCCTACAATATAGCTCTGTTACAGTTAAAACTGGTTATGGATTCTACTTTTTTGGTTCAATATGACCAGTTTTCGTATTCAAAATTTTTTCCAATTCGTTATAGTTTCTTCTTTCTTTCTTCTCAATTTTCACTCTAAACCATTAATTTCGACATTTTAAGGATTTTGTCTGCAATCCTAGTAAGTGGTAATAGCTTGATTGAACCTGATTAAAGATTATATCTTCGCAAAAGTTTCTCAAAAGAAAAATAACTAAACTTCAAAGTCAAAAGAGATCTGAGTTTTGTGGAGTTACGAATTTTGCTCAAAGTAAGTTTTCATCGTTTAACAACCACGTTTGTCCTAAGGTTGTCAGAGAGCTTTTCTGACGAACTTCCTTAACTGAAGAGGCCAATCGAAGTCGCAACAAAAATATAGTCTGTTATGTTTGTTGAACGATCTTTTTGAACGTAGTCTTTCTGAGACACAATGTCTTTTGCTTGCCAAATCTTTCCAAATTGCGAAGTTTGCACAAATCTGGAAAAGGCTTTGCTTTTGACGAAGTGAAACAGTTTGCATGAAAATAGAATTCATTCAAAGTAGTTCTGTGAATGTGCAGATTTCCACAAGGTGTAGTGTTCCCAGTTTGCTTACCGTTTTTGAACTGTCTGGTTCTCATCAGCACGACGAAGAAGTCGTGGAACGAAGGTTTTGCGGAGCGATGTTGATAAAACCATTTCTCAAAAGATAAAGAACTAAAGTTCAAAGTCAAAAGATATCTGAGTTTTGTGGAATTACGAATTTTGCTCAAAGTAAGCTTTCATCTTTTAATAGCCACTTATGTCTTAAGGTAGTTAGAGGATATGCTGCCTTTCTGACGAACTTTTTTAGCTGAAGAGACCAATCGGAGTCGAAACAAAAATGTGGTCTCTTATGTTTGTCGAACGATGCTTTCTAACCGCTGTCTTTCTGAGACACAATGCCTTTTGCCTACCAAATCTTTCCAAAGTGCGATATTACACCCTGTGTAGACCTGCACATTCGCAGAATAACTTTGAATGGTTCCCATTTTGTCTTTGACGCAAACTGTTGCGCATTCGTCAAACTGTTTCACTTCGTCAAAAGCAAAGCCTTTTGCAGATTTGTACAAACCTCGCACTTTGGAAAAATTTGGCAAGCAAAAGACCATCCATTTCGATATTTTGGAGATTATTAAATAATATAACATTATTAAATTATTATATTTAAACGTCTAAAGTTATTTTAAAAATCAAGCTTGATTACATTTTTAAGTTGTCCAATTCATTCCTCTTTAACTTTTTGCCAACGAACGGTAATTTCCGGTGATATGCAAAAGAAGTTGTTTTAAAGGAATCGAAACTCGTACACGCATAGCAAAGAGTAGGTTGTATAACGGTTAAGAAGAAGCCGAAGGAGAAAGAGAAGTGGCACAAGGTCATGTATATTTTCAAGCCTAGTGCCCTACAGACGATTAATTTTTGTTGTTTCGTTTTCTCGAAAAACTTCTCTGGAGAGGTTTTGTTCTCGCTAGAATGCTGGAAGGATAATTTACCGTTTAGTCACCGGAAAACCGGACTCAACGTCAGGTTATTGAACGAAGTGGTTCTCGGTTCAAGTTCAAGGATTTAAAAAGTTTTTCAAGATAACTTTCGCATCTTTAGAAACAAATTTTACTTAGAAATTTACCAAAGAATGATTTTGAACAAAGCATTTTAAAATCATCTATAATCTTATAAATTAGCGGATTTTTTAACTTTCTATTTTTTTGTTCTTTACTTTGTTTTATTGTTAAACATAAATACATAATACTATTATGCAATTTACATTGTTTTAGTCGTTTTTTTGAAAAATCTATTGTTGAGTTTAAATTATCCTTGGAATCCTGCGCTAAAATTGGAAAACAATCGTTTTAGGTCAATGTGCTCAATAAAAACCGTGAATAACAGTGCTGAAGAGCTCATACGAATTTCTTCATTTATGTGTGTTAATAAAGTGTGTCGAATAGTTGTCTTTAAGTAATATTAACGGTTTATAATATTTTATTGTTACCACTTGGAAATACTTTGAAATAATTTATTGTATATAAATACTTAAAAATCGTATTTAAGAAAGTTATAAAATATCTTTGCATTTTAATAAAGCTAAAAACTTCTTAGTACTCTTAAAAACTAATTCAACACCATCCGGCTTTCTCCAACTTAACCTCAAAGTAATTAGTTTTACTCCAAATCCTATTGAGAACCAACTTTCTTCAACAAACCTTCACGACTACTCTTTGTATTTGTTTGCCGTTAGTTTTTAATAGTCCCGTTATACAAATCGATCAATTAGCGATTTATCCAAGAAATTAACATCTTCATGAACTCAATTCAACAACTAAAATAAACAATTAACGGTTACTCACAAATTTTTAACTTTTATTTTACTTCCAGAATGTATAAAACAGTAAGCAATTGGGTTTTATTAACCCTCTTAATCAGCAGCTCAATAATCAGTACTTTTGCTTATCCGAATGTACATCAAATGGAAAGAGGATTCGCCCCAATAAGAGGGCCTCAACTACCGTCCGAAACGATAGCAAGGAAATTCGTTGAAAAACCAAATTCGGTGAAGAAAGTCGCTTTGGATGATTTAAATGATATCGAGACGAATGAAATTCAAGAATCTGGATTTACTTGGACTAGCTTAATTGGTAAATTAATTTTGGTGTCTTTGGGTGATATTTTAAAATTTTTAATTTTATTTAGGTTCTTTGATGCATATGATCTTCAGCCCAGCCCAACAAGGTCCCAACAAATCAGACGATTTAGAAACAACCAACACTTCCCCATGGGCCAATTTAATTTCAGTTGGTTTGAAGATCCTCAAAGCGTTCATTGGCGGCGGAGGCGGAGACGGAATCGACAAAGTTGACAACGGATCGCCCATGCAAGTAAGTTTTGGTTTTCAAAAAGATTATAAATAAAAACATGGTTTTTGAAATCACCCACATCCAAAAAACTAATCTATAAAAAAACTAAACTAAAAAGAAACATCTCAACATTAAATTGGAAGAAAAAAATATCTTGGAAGCTTTTAGCCATTTTTGCTTGAGTAGTTGTTATCGTGTCGATTAATTAGTTTATGTAAATAAAATAGTTTTGGAAAGGCACTATTAGTAGACTCTTCGCTTGCACAGGGTGTTCTTGGTGCGGTTCTTTCGACATTGGTCGGTACCCAGGATCCGGAACAGGTCAACATGTTGGCTAAACAGGCCGGACAGGTAAGATTCATTTAAATTAACATTTTAAACCTTTAACCAATTTAAAAGTTTGTAAAAAAGTTGATCCTTTTGAAAGATGTATTGCATATTTTCTCAGTTGAAATGTCTAATAGGTAGCAGAAGCGAATATATATCGATCATGCATGGTCGATGATATATTGTGTTATAGATGCAATTGTATATACATTTCCTGGAAAAATCTCGTTAATAAGAAGCCGAAATTTGTTCACATTTATTCACAAGTATTATCATGTTTGACCATCTTCGGTCAACATTACTTATAATGCAATGTAATATGTATGTTAACGCATATCAATTCATGCAATATTGATAAGATAAAATCCATATAGTCGATTTTGATAATTTTGCTTTTGAATTTTTGATACATTTTTTCAGAAAGTCCAAAGAGCAAATGAATGTCTTTTTACACCACCTTACAGTTTTCCTAGCAAATTCTTGATTTTTTGATCAAAAAGATTGTTTTTGATCAAAAAAAAGAAAGAAACGCACCGAGTTTCTGTTATCTTCATACAATTATATTGCTAACAATTTCTCTTTTTCCATATTTTCGTCGACTGTTTTTATTTCCATACTTCAACGGATCTGGTTTATAAAATCAAGTATCACCCCGAAATGGCGTCTTTTTGATGGGATATATGTATAGCCGAAATGATAAACCTCCCTTGAAGAGTAATAAACTTTCACCTATTGGTGAATGAATTCTTGAAAATTCTTGATGCCGATAATTCAAAAGATGCATGTATGAAGATGTCAACGTGTTGCTTAAAATGATTACTCCATAAAACCCTAAGCTATGTTAATATACTCTCTGATCAGTGAGCTTATACGGCTGGTCGCAATTGTATTCTGTCGGTATAAGGTCCGTTTTAAATTCAATCAAGTAATTTAGACATGGGTCCTTGAGGATTTCGAGGTGTCTGCTGAGGTTACCCTGCACCAGCTTGAGTGATGAGCATGTTTTCAGTGATAAGGCACTTAAAGCTGCCTCCTTTTGTATATATAAATGAAGTGGTGTGAGACCGAGTGGTCTGGGACAAGCTGCTGGATTTGTGCCAGCTGTTGTTGTGCTGTCTTATGATTTGTTTTTGGCCACCAAACCAGTGAGCCTTTTGCCTCACCTCGTCTATGTGGGAGTTCCAGTTTAATTTATTGTTTACTGGAACTGTTGTTGCTTTTTTACTATTGTACTTTATTACCCCTAGGTATTTAACTTCTGTTTTTGAAGTTAACAGTTCTGCCTTCAATGGAGGGTGCTCTCAATTATAGCTTCCTTCTCTGAGTGAAAGGGACTATTTTGATTTTGTTTGGATTGATGTTGAGCTCATTGCTTCCGCACCATGTGCTGATAAGTACTAGGGCTTTCTGCATTAGTCGAGTTATGATTGAGTCATATTTACCTCGGATTATGATTGCCAGGTCATCAGCATACCCCTGAATCATGAATCCATTTTTTGTTAAGGTGTTCATCAAGTCATCAACTACCAGCTACCCATACAAGAGCACTCCCCCTTGGGGACATCCTCTTAGCACCTTAATAGTCACCGACTCGCCTCCCAGACTGATTGTGATCTGCCGACTTTTCAACATGGCAATACACCACTTGATCGTCGATGGATGTATATCTTTTACATTTAGAGCATTCTCTATGGATTCGTAGGAGGTATTATCAAAAACACCCTCTATGTCTATGAAAGCACATAGGGCTATCTCTTTGGTTGCAATTGTCTCCTCTAAAGTGCTTGTCAAAGTATGGAGAGCAGTAATTGTTGATTTTGCTTTCTGGTAAGCATATTGACTCGAATGGAGTGGATTAGTGACAAGCACTCTATTCCTAAGGTATTGATCAATTATCTTTTCCATCCCATTGAGGAGAAATGAACTTATTAGCCTAACTCCATTCTTTCCTGGTATGTATTTCTCCATATTATAGGTATATAGCTGAAGCTATAGCTTGAATTGGCTAAAAATAGGCAGAATTCCATCTCCTCCAGATAATTTTAGAGGCTTGAAATTCGAGATAGCCCACCTTACTCTGTTGAGTGTAAAGATATTCCCAGTTATGCTGCGAACCCTATCGGATGGACGGGTTATACCCATTACTTTAGGGTCGGCATCTGCATGGGGCCAAATTTTTGAGGAAGGAAAGTGCGTGCTCAGTAAGAGCTCCAGTGATTCCTTAGCATCCTCAGTATATTTTCCGTCTTGTTTGCATAGGTGGCCAAGATCAGTGTTATGGCCTTTCGCCAAGATCTTGTGGAGGCGAGCAACTGTAAACGTATTATCTATGCTTTCACAAAAACTACGCCAGGTTTTTCTTTTGGCTTTAAGAGTAATCAGGTTATACTCCGTTAGGGCTTTCCTATACTTGCGCCAAAAGCTCTTTTATTGTCCAACCGGATTTACAAGTTGACTTGAATACCATGTTTCTATGTTTCTAGTATTTCTTAGCTTCGTGGTAAATAGGGTTTGGTTAAGCACTTCAATCTCTGTCTGCAGCTAATTACTTTTTGTGATGTAAATCCAGCTTCTAGCAGAATTATTTCTTTAATTTGAAAATAATCCAAATATATTTTCCTCGATTTTGGAATTGTTTGCATCATAGATCATCGTTTTCTATGAAATTTGCATTCTTGCTGTTTCGGGACACGTCTTCTATGTTTCACGAATGATGCTTTTTATTCAGTTCTTTTTCATCGGTTTGCAGAATTTGTTTAAGAAGAACAAATTGGGAGTACTTTAGTTAACTAGTAAGACGACCAGTGTACTTCTACAATAAGTTATACATTACAATAAACTTGAGTGTGATCATGCTTATCTAAGGATTTTCTTCCGCTTGGTGGTTCCACAACGTAAAGTAGATATTCGATATTCTATAAGTTGTTGGATTTTCATATTTCATATTTTCTTCATTTTTAAGTTTGATTGTGACTGCGGTTACTCACACCAATTGATAGTGATATAGACGGGATATCGAGAAAGAAACGATCGAGAATTAAATGATCATTCGAATTCTTCACGAACCCTAATACTATCATGACTTTGAAACTGCATATGTACTCAGCATGCTAAAGTACTCTAGTACTGTTTGGAATCTTCAATATGCGGTGACCATATCTACAGAGTTCAAAAAAGATTCGTTAAGTGTCTACACATAATATTTAATTGTAAATACGTAGATTACGAGACCAACTGCATTATTTACGCAATAAGAATTTTTAATAATAGTAGATGATATTANTCTCTATGGATTCGTAGGAGGTATTATCAAAAACACCCTCTATGTCTATGAAAGCACATAGGGCTATCTCTTTGGTTGCACTTGTCTCCTCTAAAGTGCTTGTCAAAGTATGGAGAGCAGTAATTGTTGATTTTGCTTTCTGGTAAGCATATTGACTCGAATGGAGTGGATTAGTGACAAGCACTCTATTCCTAAGGTATTGATCAATTACCTTTTGCATCCCATTGAGGAGAAATGAAGTTATTAGCCTAACTCCATTCTTTCCTGGTATGTATTTCTCCATATTATAGGTATATAGCTGAAGCTATAGCTTAAATTGGCTAAAAATAGGCAGAATTCCATCTCCTCCAGATGATTTTAGAGATCTAACAAGTAGACTTGTTAGATGGATTTACTTTTCTCGGGTTGCGATGAATTTTTCCTCGATTTTGGAATTGGGAGTAAGTTGGGAACATGTTGGGAGTACTTGTAGTCAACTGGTAAGACGACCAGTGTTCTTCTAACTTTACCATTAAACTTGAGCGTGACTACGCTTATCTAAGGATTTTCTTCCGCTTGGTGATTCCACAACGTAAGGTATATATTCTATACGTTATTGGATTTTCTTAAGTTCTATGAAGCAGGTAGAACTCAGATTGTGACTAGGGTTACTCACATCTTTCGATACTGATAGAGACGGGATATCAAGAAAGGTTTACAACATGTATGGATTTATTAAATGATGCGAATTCTTCATGAACATTAAAACTATGGTGACTATAAAACTGCATATACGAGACCAACTGCATTATTGATGCAATAAGAATTTTTAATAATAGTAGATGATATTACGATATTATTTATTATGATTTTGATAATGTTTTTTTTATAAATATATAATACAAGAAATCATTTCTAAACTATAACTTATTTTAATTCCATCTAACAGTAAACATATAACGTTATATTTTCCTATAATATTCTTATTTTAATTTTTATTCTAGTTTATCAACATCGTGGTAAATCTTTTGGATGCTTTGAAAACTTCATTTTCTCACCGTTCTTTAGCAGCTCGTAATATTGGCAGGAAAGATTCAATCAGTGATGCCACTGTAGCTGGAATAGCGATGATGAAAGGATACATCAGGTCAATGAGCACCGAAAAAGATAGTTGTATGCAAAAATTCATGTGTGATGCCAGCAACGAATGTGTAACGGACATTGGACAATCATCACTTTTCTGCCAATTGGGATCGTAAGTTAATTAATTATATACTTTCACAAACAATTAATGTATTATTTTTTTCTTATTTTAGATACGCAACTAGTTTTGTTTTGGAAAGATCTTACAAAGACCATACCTTTGATATGCTGTACGAAGCTAGTAGAAGAGGTCGCTCGGGTATGAACTGTCAAAGAGCTTACTTAGAGTGCAACGAAGTTTAAAAAGATAACAAAAATAAATCGGCAGACAAAAAAGATTTTGTCTTTTTAAATGAAGAAGATTCATCTTCTAAATCAAGGACTGTATATATAACTTTGCTTATTACTGTACTACTATTTAATAATACTTAATTGTTCATCCTTCAGTCCCTCCCCATAAAAATGGATTAAGTTCAAAATTTGATTACACGAGATTATTTATTAGAGCACATATTTAAAAATAGCGATCCCCTCTATTAAAAAAAACGGTTATTTTAGTTTTGTGATGGACTTCCATAGAATCATTTCGTCTATTTCTGTAGAGAAATTGTAGAGACATTGTTCCGATTGTTATACCTATAGATGTTTCGATTGTAATATTCGCGAGAGATGAGTGAATGTGGTTCCTTTATTGAAGACGTGATTGTGGTTTCTTTGTGATGATTTAAACCATATTTTAACTATTTAGAATTTCTAGAATTTCTGTATTTATAGTAAATCGAGGTTTTCGTCGCAAAGAATAATAATATGTAGATGTACGTAATTTAATTTTTGTTTTTTGTGTGTATAAGATATTTATAAATAAATCATTTTAAAAATGAAAATATTGTTTTATTATATTATCCAACTAAAAATTGTATATACCAGAACTGGAAAATAATTTAGGATGATGGAAAAAACATATCAATAGCAATAGTTTCAACTTCTGATGAACGAAGGATACAAAGTGGTTTCAAATTCGTAGCTTTACACTTCTAGAATTTCGTGTCAGTAGTATCTAGCAGCGATTTGGCGATACGCACGATCAGTACAATAAATGAATTCTAGTATTCTTTTATCACATCGAATCTTTTGTCACTGGGGATAAGAAGCTGATCTTTTTCAATTAACATAACATATCTTCGTGTAGTCCAATATTGCAATTCGGTAATGTTAGGAGATTCGCCAGCATTTTTTCTATATCTTTGGATCTTGTAGTGTATTGGTTGCACTTTTTTTAGCAACTCTGCGAACAAGGAAAAAATTAAGATTCCCGTCTTCATAAAAAATCAGTTACAATATTTCACTTCCCTGGACTTCAGGTAATGTTTGTGTGTATAGCTTGCATTCGCAGTGCCCATCTGGGAAGTCTTTCAGATGGTGTTTTCAACTTAAACAACTACTGCAATGCATGATAGTCAGTGATAATGGTTACGACAACACAAACTTCTTGTTCAGTGGTGGAATAGTAAGTTTCTGCGGCAGTCAGCAAACGACTGGGAAATTCAATGGGTCGATCATCATTATCCTCATCCTGAAGTAGAACTCCCCCTAAGGCATAGATTCTGGCATCATTTCGCAAAACTTATCAGGATCAGCCTGGATTAAAACAGGAGCGCTAGTTATCAATTCTTTGAGTTGAATTAACGCAGTTATCTCCTCTTAATAATTGTCTCACAGAATTGTGTGATCTCACTACTAACAGTTCTACGTCAATACCTAACAAAGTACAATTATCGGTTAGTGTAGGTAGTACCTATAATAAAGTTTTGTAAAAAGGTTTGTTTTATCTCGGCTTAACTTCAAATTATTTGCCCTGAAACAATCTTACGCTTTCTCTAGTACTGCAACTGTTTTCTGTTTCAGTTTTTGTGAGTCTCTAGATCTATTTATAAAAGACGTATCATCAGCGTATAGACATATATTATTAATGAATGTCAAAAACAAAAGTGGCCCAAGCACAGGACCTTGAGGAACACTAAGAGCAATTTCCTTCCATATCGATACTGTTCCTCTCCAGTGTGCTTGTTGTTTTAAGGCCGTAGAGCTTATACCGTAATTGTCTAATTATCTTAATAATATCTCATGACTGGCAGAGCCAAACGCTTTACTTAGATCACAGAATGCAATCTGGGTATATTCGCGCTGATTCAATCCCTTTGTTATTTTTTCTAAAGCTTCAAGAATTGAAGTTATTGTCCATGTGGGGTTGTGTATGCATAGATAAAGCATCAATTTATTGCATATTGCCATTTCATACATTTTTGAGATAGCCGGCGATATTGATAGAGTCTGTAGTTACTAGGATCATTGACTTTCCCTTTTTTCTTCACAGGCACAACTTTCGCACACATTAAAACAGATGGAAAAATGCCATCTTGCAGGCTTTTGTTTATTGAAAAACATAAATCTTAATGCGTAATTAGTGCTTCATGGATGGAGAAGTATGTGTTGCTGTGGTCGGTCCGAGATTTCATCGGTTCTTCTTGTTGGTTCCCTTTGGAAAGGAGCAGATGTTTCGCCAAGATCTCACCTGGCATCTTCAGTGCGTTGTCGTAGTCTCCTGTCGGCAGTCTGTCGCAATGTTGTTCATACACTGGGCTCAATAATGTGCTTCTGTAGCGATGTGGCATGTTTTTCCTTTATTTATTTGCATTCCCCTTGCTTCAAAGCAGACTTTTCAGATCTTAATTTTTTTTTGTAGTTGTGTTTTCGTACATACTGTCAATATTATATCTTCCGTGTAGACGAGATTGAAAGTTTTGATCGGTCTGTAATAACTAATTATAGAGGATTTTCTTAATATTTTCTATTTCTTAATTATTTGATCCATAAACATTACATATAGTGGCTAAGGTTATCCTCTTATTTCATACGTTGCTTCATATTATTTTTTTCGGATTTTTCTCCGTTTTGCCTAACAGAACCTTTAACCTTCTTTTATACACTTTTATTTGTTCTGTGTAATTGTTAGTTTATTTTTTTCAGTATCGTATCAAAGACCTTTAAAAGCTATATACAGTGCTTGACATCTTTAAACAGTTCCAGGGCGGTTATTATAAACATTTCGGAAAAAATTTTATTAGATATATCTAATAAAATTTTCTATAGATCGCTTCAGAATAATGTATTCTACAACCGTATACTGCTCTGAAGCGGAAGATACGGGACACCTGTATATTGATTTCTATTGCTTTATCTATCAGTGTTCTGATTGTATACATGTAGTATTTTGTAATTTCTCTTCCAATTTATCTGCTGCTTCTTGTCTTAAACATTTTTCTAGCATACTTGTATANCTCCCATCTGCCCACCGGTCAATCTGTCTTCCATGTCTGCGGTATACAAGGCAAACAGAGCGGGACTAAGTGGACATCCCTGCCTCAAACCCCTCGTTGTCCAGAACCTATCCGTTCACTCGTCCCCCACCTTTACCCTAGCTATCGTCTCTGCGTATATCTCCCTCACCCTGTTTATTGTCCCACCAGTAATCCCTCTCAATATTTTCTTTAGTCACTTCATTAAAAAATTTTGATTTGTAAATCTTTAATTCAATTGTTCGATGGTACATTTTATTGCGGACTTAAATGTTGTGGAGGTATCTCGTTTACAGTCTTCCAGTTTCAATGTATGTTTTAGAATGTGTATAAGTAAAATTACCGATGAAATGCTAGTATTACTATCACTCATGTTTCTGGTAACCTCTTCAAATGGTTGAAGAATAGACACTAATTTGTTGAGATACAGCCATTCTGCAGGATATATTTGTGGGATACTATTTACCAGCATAAAGGCACAACGAATCCTTTATTTTAATCATTCGTTCCAGCATGTAGAAAGTGCTATTCCACCTGTAAATAAAAGTAAAAGAATATGGAATTTAATTCTCAATTAAATTAAATTATGTAAGCTTTTTACCGTGTGTTACACTCCTGTACAACGCCTAAAGCCGTTTGGTTGAGTTGTTCTGTTTGTATTTTGTTTAGTTTCGTTTGAGCAATTTGAGAATGATTAAAATGCGTACAAATTTTTTTGCATTTCGGTATCAAATTTTTGATTTCTTCATCAGAATCTAACATAGTTTTCACACAAAGTTGTAATTGATGTACGGTGCAACTGACATCAGGGATATCAGCTAGCCTCATTGCACGTATCATATTTGACCCACAATCACGAATGAAACAGTGGATTTTGTCAGACGTTATTTGCCATTCCTGAAGCATCTTATTAAATTTTTCCTGAATTACATCTCCTGTATGTCGGCCATCAAAAGGGTGGCATTTCAAAACAAGTTTTATTCTCTTAAAATCTTCAGTTATGCCATGCGCTGTCAAACTCAATAAGGAAACATTGGAACTGGGTTCAGTCCAAACATCGGTGGTAAATCAAATTTTTGTAAAAGTTTTCAACAAATCCACTACCTT